GATTATAAATCATCTTTATACTCACATGCTAAATTAACGTGAATGAAAGCATAAATGGTGAATAAGAAGGAGTATTTATGAATAAGTATTTATGTTCATGACTTAAATTTTGTCGGCTTATAAATCATCTTTATACTCACGCGCTAAATTAATACGAATGAAATGGTGTGGCAAATAAGTATTTATGTTATGATTTATGTTCATGATTTTAATTCCAACGATTTGTAAATCCCGTGAACCCAGTATTATGGGAAAGTTAGTAGTGTGATTCAGCTCTATCAGTAGTTAGAATGCAGTCATCAACTCACCTACTGGTCGAAAGCCAAAAGTCGAGTCTAAATCATTTGTCACACCTGTGCAAAATGTGGTAATATTTTTGTAACGGATCATCTTATTTAAATTTGAAAATACTCCAGGAACAGTATTTTCAGTATTATCAATTGGCATATCTATAGTGATTGAAATGTTGATTTGACCAAATTTGTCGAAAGGCTGGGGTTTATAACTTAAACGCTTCTGCCTAACTGGTACTTTATCAGCAATCTCATCTAATAGAGCATCAAAGTATTTTGACTGATCGATTTTAGATAGATTTTTAATTTTGTTGGAGGCATCTATAGTGAGAACCGCTAAACCCGTAGCAGCAATATCTACAAGGAAAAATAAATGAGAATCGTGTGAAACATATAATTCATAAATATGATGTCAATACCTGAAGAATTCGCTCTATAAACTAATGATTTAAAAGAACAAAAAGATAAAATAGGTGATGTCGATATACTGCATTTAAACCAATTAAAAATACGTTTAAAGTTACCTGATTCAAGAAGCCAGACTTCACCTTCAATTCCCCTTAGAGGTTCGTTATAAGCGCTAGTTTTGACAAAATTATTATCAATTTTCACATAATATTTCGTTCCGTTCTCATTAAATGTACTATCAATGATGCTTATATTGACGACATTCCCATTATCAATAAGTTTACAGAACTCAGATTTTGCAGAAACTCTTTGTCTAATGTTGTGATTAGAGGCTTTGTAGATGATGTTGCCAGTTGACAAATAAACGAACGAATGGAACCTGATGCTTATTTGGGTTGTTGATGATGAATTGATACTAGAATTAACGGGAGGGATAACATTGGCAATTACAATATTACCGTAACTATTATAACCACTCGCTAAACAAATATAACAACGAATGGTAAATAAGTAATTATGGAAAAAAAAGAATAATTTCTTGTTATCCGGCAAACTCATATGATCATGAAAAAATTTCTGTTATTTTTTCATGTGTTACGATGTAATTATGTTTATTCCAATATTCAAAATAAAACTCAGCGAGCGCTCCCTACCAATCATGATCATAATTGCCGGATAACACGAATACAGTAATTTGGCCAATGATTGGCTACACGTGCCGCTTTGCGGCACGTGTTCATTAGCCAAATCGACAATTTTTGCCCAATAATTATTAGCATTTTTTTATGATCCATGTTCATTATTTTAACTTATACTCACCATCTAAATTAATATAAATGAAATAAAGAATGATAAACAAGTAAGTATTTATGATTTATGAATAAGAAAGAGTCTTCATGAATAATTATTTATGTCTATGATTTTACAGTAATTCTACCAATTTATAAATCATCTTTATACTCACCAACTAAATGCGAATGAAATAATAATAAAGTATTTATGAATAAGTATTTATGTGCATGATTTTACAGAAATTCCATCAATTTATAAATCATCTTTATACTCACCATCTAAATTAATGCGAATGAAATAATAAATGGCAATAAGTGAGTATTTATGAATTAATGAATAAGAAAGAGTATTTTAATTCCATCAATTTATAAATCATCTCTATACTCACTGCCTAAATTAAAGTGAATTAAATAATGAATAAATGGTAAATAAATAAGTATTTATGTTATGATTTTAATTCCATCGATTTATGAAAACATCTTTATACTTACAGGCTAAATACGAATGAAATAACACATGGCAATAAGCAAGTATTTATGTATTTATGAATAAGATATGAATAAGAATTTATGTTTATGATTTTACAGCAATTCCATTAATTTATAGATCATCTTTATACCCACAGTCTAAATGCGAATGAAATAATAAATGGTAATAAGTGAGTATTTATGGATTTATGAATAAGAAAGAGTATTTATGAATAAGTATTTATGTTTATGATTTTACAGTAATTCCACCAATTTATAAATCGTCTTTATACTCACAGACTAAATGTGAATGAAATAATAAATGGTAATAAGTGAGTATTTATGAATTTGTGAATAATAAAGAGTAATTATGAATAAGCATTTATGTTTATGCTTTTACAGTAATTCCACCAATTTATAAATCATCATTATACTCACCAGCTAAATGCGAATGAAATAATAAATTGTAATAAGTGAGTATTTGTGAATTCATGAATAAGAAAGAGTATTTATGAATAATTTATACTCACGCGAATAAAATAATGAATGGTAATAAGTGAGTATTTATGAATTTATGAATAAGAGTATTTATGAATAAGTACAGTCAGATGAAAAGCCTCCCTAAATGCGTCTTCTTTTGAACCCAACTAATATTATGGCTATAGGTTTTACCTCCTTAAATACAATGCCTCTCTAAGTGCACGTTTGGCTAAATTTTTACATATGGTCCCGTCACATTTCATTTAGAGAGGTCTAACTGTATTTATGCTTATAATTTTACAGTAATTCCACCAATTTATAATCATCCTTGTACTCACAGACTAAATACGAATGAAATAGTGAATAAATGGTAAATAAATAAGTATTTATGAATTTATGAATAAGAAAAAGTTTTTATGAATAATTATTTATGCGCATGTTTTACAGTAATTCCATCAATTTATAAATTATCTTTATACTCACCATCTAAATTAATGCAAATAAAATAATAAATGGTAATAAGTGAGTTTTATGAATTCATGAATAAGAAAGAGTATTTTAATTCCATCAATTTATAAATCATCTCTATACTCACTGCCTATATTAAAGCGAATTAAATAATGAACAAATGGTAAATAAATAAGTATTTATGAATTTATGAGTATTTAAGAATGAGTATTTATGTTATAATTTTAATTCCATCGATTTATAAATTATCTTTATACTCACAGACTAAATGCGAATGAAATAATAAATGGTAATAAGTGAGTATTTATTAATTTATGAATAAGAAAGAGTATTCATTAATAAGTATTTATGGTTATGATTTTATAGAAGTTCCACCAATTTATAAATCATCTTTATACTCACATACTAAATTAATGCAAATTAAATAATGAATAAATGGCAAATAAATAAGTATTTATGAATAAGAAAGAGTATTTATGAATAAGAAAGAGTATTTATGAATAAGTATTTATGCGCATGATTTTTTTACAGTAATTCCATCAATTATAAATCATCTTTATACTCACGGGCTAAATTAATGCGAATGAAATAATGAATGGTAATAGGTGAGTATAAATGAATATATGAATAAGAAAGAGTATTCATTAATAAGTATTTATGCGCATGATTTTTTTACAGTAATTCCATTAATTATAAATCATCTTTAAACTCACCCCCTAAATTAATGCGAATGAAATAATAAGAGTATTTATGAATTCATGAAAAAGAAAGAGTATTCATGAATAAGATTTATGTTTATGCTTTTACAGTAATTCCACCAATTTATAAATCATCTTTATACTCACCAGCTAAATGCGAATGAAATTATAAATGGTAATAAGTGAGTATTTATGAATTCATAAATAAAAAAGAGTGTATAATTATGAATAAGAATTTATGTTTATGATTTTAATTCTATTAATTTATAAATCATCTTTATACTCACCCCTAAATAATAATAAAATGGTATTTATAAATTCATGAATAAGAAAGAGTATTCATGAATAAGTATTTATGTTTATGATTTTAATTCCATAGATTTATAAATCATTTTTATACTCACAGGCTGAATACAAATGAAATAACGAATGATAATAAGTGAGTATTTATGAATTTATGAATAAGATTTTAATTCCATTGATTTATAAATCATTTTTACTCACTGGCTAAATGCGAATAAATAATAAATAGTGATAAGTTTGTATTTATGAATTCGTGAATAAGAAAGAGTATTTATGAATAAGTATTTATGTTTATGCTTTTACAGTAATTCCACCGATTTATAAATCATCTTTATACTCACTGTCTAAATGCGAATTAAATATTAAATGGTAATAAGTAAGTATTTATGAATTTATGAATAAGAAAGAGTATTCACAAATAAGTATTTATACGCATAATTTTTTTACAGTAATTCCATCAATTTATAAATCATCTTATACCCACCCCCTAAATTAATGCGAATGAAATATTAAGAGTGTGTTTATGAATTCATGAATAAGAAAAAGAGTATTTATGATTAAGTATTTGTGCCATGATTTTATAGTAATTCCATCAATTTATAAATCATCTTTATACTCACAGACTAAATGCGAATAAAATATTGAATAATGATAAGTGAGTATTTTTATGAATTTATGAATAAGATTTTTAATTCCATCGATTTATAAATCATCTTTATACTAACAGACTAAATACGAATGAAATAATGAATGGTAATAAGTGAGTATTTGTAAATTAATAAATAAGAAAGAGAGTATATTTATGAATAAGTATTTATGTTTATGATTTTAATTCCATAAATTTATAAATCATCTTTATACTCACAGACTAAGTGCGAATGAAATAATAAATGGTAATAAGTGAGTATTTATGAGTCCATGACTAAGAAATAGCGTGTATTTATGAATAAGTATTTATGGTTATGATTTCAATTCCATTGATTTGTAAATAATTTTTATACTCACAGGCTAAATGCGAATGAAATAATAAATGGTAATAAGTGAGTATTTATGAATTTATGAATAAGAAAGAGTATTATAAATAAATAGTTATGCGCATGATTTTCAGTAATTCCATCAATTAATAAAGGGAACTTTCATATAAGGGCCCGAAAAATGAAAATAATTACATATAAGGATAAGGGCCCAAAGTGAAAATAATTACCAAAATTTTAATAAAATATTACAATTAAAGGAATATGATTGTAAATTTTTAGTATACAAAAAAATTATATAAATGTAATTGTCTTTTGACATTTAGACGTATTATTTTTTAATCAGTATGCATTTATTCTCATAGCGCCTTTCATGTAAAAATTATAATCACTTTTGCCGATTTTTAAAAGTATTTAACTTTCTCTACGAATAAAAATGAGCTTCTCCACATAGTAACCTTCACGAAATATTGATTCACTAGCTTAGTATAACGACAGATAAACATATTAGTTTAGAACCAAATAAACATTACAATATCAATATATATCGTATTTAACCTAGTTGAATTATTTCTTGGTCATTAAGTACTAAATGTATAAATCAATACATATACACGTTCGAAGAACCAGTATCATCATAACGCAAACTTATTTTGGCCTTTAAATGTAAAATTTTTCAAAATTTGGGCCCTCATATATAATTATTTTTCACTTTGGGCCCTTATTTGTAATTACTTTCATTTTTCGGGCCCTTATATGTAAATTCCCATTTATAAATCATCTTTATACTCACCCCCCTAAATTAATGCAAATGTAATAATAAATAGTAATAAATGAGTGTTTATGAGTTTATGAATAAGAAAGAGTACTTATGAATAAGTATTTATGTTTATGCTTTTACAGTAATTCCACCAATTTATAAATCATCTTTATACTCACCCCTAAATTATTGCGAATGAAATAATAAATGGTAATAAGTAAGTATTTACGAATTTATGAATAAGTAAGAGTATTCAAGAATAAGTATTTATGTTTATGATTTAATTCCATCGATTTATAAGTCATCTTTATACTCACAGACTAAATGCGAATGAAATAATAAATGGTAATAAGTGAATGTTTATGAATTTATTTATGAATAAGTATTTGTGCGCATGATTTTACAGTAATTCCATCAATTTATAAATCATATTTATACTCACAATCTAAATTAATACGAATGAAATAATAAATGGTAATAAGTATTTATGAATTTATGGATAAGATTTTAATTCCATCGATTTATAAATCATCTTTATACTCACTAGCTAAATGCGAATGAAATAATAAATGGTATAAGTGAGTATTTATGAATTTACGAATAAGTATTTATGTTTATGATTTTACAGTTATTCCACCAGCTTATAAATCATCTTTATACTCACGATCTAAATTAATACGAATGAAATAATGAATAAATGGTAAATAAATAAGTTTTTAAGATTTTAGAATAAGTATTTATGTTCATGCTTTTACAGTAATTCCACCAATTTATAAATCATCTTTATACTCGCCATCTAAATGCGGATGAAATAATGAATAAATGGTAAATAAATAAGTATTTATAAATTATGAATAAAAAAGAGTAGTTATGATTAGTATTTATGCTATGCTTTTACAGTAATTCCACCAATTTAAAATCATCTTTATACTCACATGCTAAATACGAATGAAATAATAAATGGTAATAAATGAATATTTATGAATTTATGAATTAGAAGAAAGAGTATTCATGAATAAGCATTTATGTTTATGATTTTAATTCCGTCGATTTATAAATCATCTTTATACTCACAGACTAAATTAATGCGAATGAAATAATAAAAAAAATGGTAAATAAATAGTATTTATGAATTTATGAATAAGAAGGAATAAGTATTTATGTTTATGATTAGTTCCATCAATTTATAAAATCATCTTTATACTCACAGGCTAAATGCAATGAAATAATGAATAGTAAATAAGTATTTATGAGTTTATGAATAAGAAAGAGTATTTATGAATAGATATTATAAACATACAATTCGGTTTTTCAGGTAACTGAACAGCAAGCAAAGACCAAGATATATTTTTACCATTTATATTTCGTGGAGAGAATAAAAGAGTATTATTATTTTTCAAGATGCTATATGCACCAATACTAGTTGTCGTCAAATTAACCTTCGAATAATTTGTATTACGGTCAATGTCATAGATATAAATCAAGCAAGTGGCATTAACCACAGCAGAAATTATGTATCCACCGACAGGTGTTGAAGACACTACATTCCAGGGCACACTAGGTTCGTTGGGAGCATTTAATAAGTGTCCGGAACCTAGAAATGTTGTTGAATAAAATGAAACTTCTTCATAGTGCACCGTGTTGTTGTAGATGACGGAAACATCACAATAGTAACCAAATCCAAAATATGCATTACAATGAACTGCATTAATTCTCATTTCAGGTTTAGTTATTTGAAAAAGAAGGAAAGAATTGCCCATGGTGGTTGTATTGTACCTATAAAGCTAACATATAATCCACCAAGTGAATTCATATAATCGGTTTCATCGAACGAATATTTGGCATACAATATTGCATAACCTTCATCAATGGTGGCCAATGACGTAAAAAGGGCAACTTTAAAGAAACCTATATCAATAGCGTTATCAGTCAACACTGATGAATTTCCATTAACATCACTGTAATTATTACAATGATTTTATTGATTAAATAAAAAAAAATAAAAATAAAAAATAATATTATTAGAGAAATTAAATTACACTGAATATTGGTTGATAATGATGGTTTATGTTTATTTCAATTAAATTTTGACTATGATAGAAAAAAGGTATTGAACTGGCAATTTAAATAATAAATAATAATATTAACAGTTAGTTCATTCTTAATTTTGCAATATAAATTATCATCGGACCTTAATTTTTCGCCTTTCCAATTCAGAACAGCTCCCCACCTATCATGTGTATCCAAATAACTCACTAATATAAATTGTTGACTTAAGGGTCGTATTAAAATAGGATTCACCATTTTTCCAGTAATTGTGCTGTTAAATAAACAATAATCCACAGAATCAAGAGTTAAATTCTCAAAATTCTTATCAATTTCAGTGACGGATCCATCTAAATGGATGATTCTTATGATTAATGTGGGTTCAAAACAATCTGGTGTTTTTGGACGATCTATAACAAGATGGATGAGGGTTGTTCCGTCATCATAAAATTGAATATCAATTACATAAGGTTGTGATTGGGTATTGTTTGCACTCTCTGTATAGGTAAAATTTGTACATTTAGCAGTGTTAGGTGTAAGCTGCAAGTTTGTACAATTAGTAATCTGCAAGGTTGATTCCGTTGATGTTGATATAATGAAAAAGCTAAGCAATATAAAGAATAGGTATGATATTACAAGGTTACAAGATGTTTTTTTCATGATGAATCAATTACTTATTTACTTAAGAGTTTTTGGTTTTTACGTAGCACGTTAAATAGACATACGAACGGTGCAAGAAATTAAAAAACTAATCTTTATATATACATTCATTAATTAACATCACTGTGGATCGGACAGAAATAATATAAAACCCTGAATGACTGAGTCAGCGGATATAAGCCACTCTTAGGATCGCCCAAAACGAAGCGGTTATTAACTTGCCGGCGGGAGGAATAAGGTAATAAATATATATCTAATATTATTCCTTCACAATATTGCTGCCGGTGGAAACAAGACAAACCTGCTGACTCTTAACTCTGAAAATGAGAAATCTAGTAGTTAGTACACACAGTACGGAAATGCAGATTGTTATTAGAACGAGCGTGTAGAATGGTACATGCATATATACTATTATATGAATAAATGGGTGGACTTGGGGGTCTATTTCCTCCCACGGACTTAAATAACTTTATTGACAAAATTTCTTTAAATTCCTTTTTTTTAATTTTTTTACAAATTAACCCTCCAATTAATAATTTATTACATTCTCTTTTTTCTGTTGTTATGCACAAAGATCCGATGAATCACATAGTGATTAAAAAAATATTTATTATTTACAATAATGAGAAATGTTTTTTAATTTTCTTATTATGATCGAATATTAATTAATGAAGTATACTGCGACCTAGATGCAGTATTTCATAATAAAAAAGCTCGTTCATAATTGTGAAACTTAAATTTGCCAAATTTGTATTTGAGAAGCAAAAAAATTACTTCGCGTTTTATATGGACTATGTGCCCCTGCTCTTACACCGCTCTTATCGAGCTGAGCTGAGAGACGGCTTAATACAATTATTGGTGAGTTGTTAACACAAGTAATTGAGTTTTTATAAAATGCCGAGGCATAGCCTTGTTATTTTTTAATTTTAATTTTTGCTTGGATTTTTTACCGTTCAGATAAATTAATAATCATTAAAATTTAAAGACATTCAATAATTAGCGTTGGTGTTTCGCTAAGCCAATCATTTACTGCCGTACTGACTAATTTTATTTCAAATTTGCGATACACTGTTTTTACTTCTATCTTATAAAAGTTATAACATATGTTCATACTTGATCTTTTTATGCTTGATTTGGCTATACTACGTTTTTGTATGCGAATCGTGTACGTACATGCATACACTTCACTCCACTCTTTAATTATCAGCTTGTCATAGGTTATTCCTGTTTAAGTTTAAAGTTGTGTACGGATCTTCTTTCTTATTGATATTACCTTCCGCCACATTTTCTTATATGAGTGCTGTCAAGGCAAAGCCTGTGAGCAAATATTTGAGGTATCAATAAGGCGAGTTTAATCCTGGGAAAATTATTGTATAAAATTTGTACACAATGATTTAATGTCAATACGCAATATTTTTCCAGGATTAAACTCGCCTTATTGATACCTCAAATATTTGCTTACAGGTTTTGCACTCATATATTAAAACAAAATAGATTTTCGTCAAAAAATTTTATCATAAAAATTCTCAGAACAGAACATTCCTAATTATAACCACGTTTCTATAATTAGATTGTGTGTTAATCTTTGGCATACAGCAGATCGTTCTAAAAAAGTATATGATTAGCCCTTCGCATCATTTCGACCAAACCAAGTAATACCGCCTACATTATGGTGTGCGATGCAATATGTAAATCAAATCTAATTAAGGTATGTAAATACAGTAATCTATTTTTTTATAACCTATAGATTTTCCAAAATTTATATAGTAAAGTATGCTGTTTTCGAATTACTACTCCTCTGTTATTTTTGGTAATACGAATATAAAAGTATAGAAAATAATAGAAAATAACCTGTAGCATAACGCTTCAGAGAGATATTTAATATATAAAAAGGCCAATAACGCAAAAAAAACAATTCAAAAATGTAGTAAAAATTTTTCTTATTTAAAGATACTTCTATTCTATTATAACTTTAAAAAATTTGTATAAAACAAAAATATTCTCTCTATATTAATATTTTACATGTCATTTACAATAAATATATCTTAGTCTTTTTATTAATAATATTGTTTTTCAAAAGCCTTAGCGATTTAAGTTTTTAAGAATATGTGATTAAGTCACATGATTATAATTCGATTCGCAGATCCGCAGTCATATGCTGCAGTATTAACCATAGCTGCCGCAACAAATTTGGACCGGCGGATCCTCGATTTTGATTGGCTAACGGCCGAGGATCTTCTAATTTCCGGCCGGAATTAACTTTTTAATTTTTTTATTACAAAAATAGAAATTCTTAAAAAATAAGCCCGCATTATGGTAAAATTGGCCCAGGAACAATTTTCATTTAATGGGCGGCTATGATTTCATTAGTAAAATTATGAGTAATTCCGGCCTAATCTTTTTTTCGTCGCTCTTAGCCAATCAAAATCGAGGATCTGCCGGTCCAAATTTGTTGCGGCAGCTATTGGGGTGTGCGATGCAATATGTAAATCAAATCTAATTAAGGTATGTAAATAATCTATTTTTTTATAACCTACAGATTTTCCGAAATTTATATAGTAAAGTATGCTGTTTTCGAATTACTACTCCTCTGTTATTTTTGGTAATATGAATATAAGAAGTATATAAAATAATAGAAAATAACCTGTAGCATAACGCTTCAGAGAGATATTTAATATATAAAAAGGCCAATAACGCAAAAAAAACCAATTCAAAAATGAAGTAAAAATTTTCTTATTTAAAGATATTTCTATTCTATTATAACTTTAAAAAATTTGTATAATACAAAAATATTCTCTCTATATTAATATTTTACATGTTATTTACAATAAATACATCTTAGTCTTTTTATTAATAATATTGTTTTTCAGAAGCCTTAGCGATTTAAAGTTTTTAAGAATATGTGATTAAGTCACATGATTATAATTTGATTCGCAGATCCGCAGTCATATGCAGTCTTAGTTTAGTCGATGACCTACATATGTATATAAGTCCACCATCTTTTTTGATATGACCTTGGTCATATAATCATATGAGTTTAGGTTATAGGTTATAAAGATCACATTAAATGCTATCACTATTTACTTTTGTTCATCAACCTTAGTTATGACTATAGTTGTTAGATGAAACCTTTTTTGCTTGGTGACGAAAGATGAAACCTAAGCCCCAAAATGACGAAACCTCTGACGAAAGGCGAAACCTCAAAAGTCTTTTATTGATTTAGCCAATAAGCATAATTATTTTTTAATTGATATAGATATACAGAAATATGTGAAATAATTTTAATTGTGCTAATTTACTTAATTGATCAATTACTTCTTAAGTTACTTATTAAAATTGATACAATTATATGTTTTAAATTTTAGTCTTATATAAACATAAATGTAGGAGCCAGTGGCGCCCTTACTTACACTTGCTTCCATTTCTTATCTTTTATTAGTTTTATACCCTTTGCAGTTTTGTCAGTTTCGTCACCTTTTGTCATTTGAGATTTTAGTTGACGAAAGATGAAACTAGGTTTTGCATTTCATCAGCGTGAAACCTCAAGGTTTTGTCTAACAACTATAGTTATGACAAATGACTTATTACAGATATAAAGGTAGAGCTCTTACCCGAGTCAGAAAATACTGACCCGTGTGGGTCAGGTATAGACCTGGGTTATAACCTGGTGTTACTTTCAAAATCGTTCTGTGCCCTGTTTAATTATTATTCTTTATTTTATTATTTTATTATTGTTTTTATTACATGTATATTATATGTTTATTGTTACTTTAATCCCTGCGTATAATTAATTAGATAGCCTTCAGCTAGATGTTTAAGCATGATTGATAATTCTGCTTTTGCTATTTTAGTCCATGATTGTCCAATTGTCGTTATTTCTTTTTCAGGTAAGTCTGGTTGCCGAAAAGTATTGAGAGACTGATGGAAGTAAAGATTTTGATCCTTGACAATTGAGATGGAAAGTTGTAGAAGTTTCATCAATGGCTTCAATGAGATCTTGTAATACTTGCCAAGTCGTTCAATGACGGCTGCAGAATTCCATTCATGTATACCCTATAAGAAATTGCAGCACAGAATAATACTGCAATACACGAAAAAGTTTGGATATGGGACCACACGAACCTACACGTAAATCTATGCAAGACAATATATGGGAAAGCACGTTTACAGCACGTAATTAGGCACGAATTCCATGCAACAGTGCACATACTAACGTGCAATTTTATGTGTTTTTCCGTGCATTGTCTCATGTATATTTACGTGCAGATAATACATAATAACATATATCCATATATATATACATAATAACATATATCTGTATATATATTTAAATTTATTATTTATTAACTAATTTATAAATTTTATTAACTAAATTTTA